ATGTATGTTTCGTAAACTGATTTTAAGAGACCAAAGCAATGGCCTGTTTCAATTTTCCTTTCTTGGCTTTCTTTGAAAACTAGGTATTTAAATGTTTCGCTGTTTTTATATCTGTAATCGGGAGTTGTGGGTATCTTTCTTTGTCCTTTATTCTATGATTTTCCGTTTTGTTAATGCTGATGGTAAGTCCCCAATTTTCGTACTCTTCAGTTATCTTTTGAATTATACAATTCATGTCTTCCTAACCGTTTAAAATAATTACTTGATCGTCTACGAAGGAAATATTTGTTATGTAGTTGTTCCCAACTTCTATCCCTATTGCTGTGTATGTTTTCTCCAGTTGTTTAATATTTCCTGAATGAAGACTTTTAATAGAGTCAGAGATAAATGTCATCCTTCCCTGAAGCCTTTTGTGTCACCAAATGCGTCTAAAATTTTATTCCTTATTTTAACTGCATTTTTTGAATTTATGTACATGTTCGCTATAACAGCGATGTAGTAAGCATTATTTAGTCCCAGACGTCGTCAATACTTCAAACAATCTTTTTAGTGGTACTGTATTATAGGTCTTCTCTAAGCCAACGAATATTTAATGAGTCCATAAATTTCTGGATGTTCTTTTTTCTATAATTTGTTGAAGTACAAATATATTATTAACACAAGATTATTTTTTATTTACAAACATTGGCGTATCAACCTCTAAAGTAGATCCTAGATCTAACGTAAATGATCGTGTCATATTAACCTCTAGGTTATTCTCTTCTTTGTCAACCATTTTCCATTCACCCCTGAATGTAGATCTCTCCCAATTGCTTCCATCTTTCTCTATCTTGCGCCAATCTAATCGAACTGTTTGCCTGCCACTGCTCTTATGTCATCTACCGATCTTTTTTGAGGTCTTCACATGCTTCTTGTTGTCGTCATTGGTCTCCATTCTAGAATCTTCTGTGTCCACCTGTTGTCATTATATTGGGCTACATGACCTGCCCAGCGCCATTTCATTTTTGTAATTTCTTCCACAATATCCCTAATCTTCTTTCTACGTCTTATCTCGGTGTTTCTAATCTTGTCTCTTAGTGATATTCCAAGCATGATTCGTTCCATTGCTCTTTGCGTTGTTTCTAATTTTTTAGCAGATTTTTTGGTAAGGGCTACTGTCTGCAGCCGTAGGTACAAACTGGTAGTATGCATGTGTTATACACCTTTTTCTTTAAGTTTACAGGAATCGAGGTGTTTTTCAAGATATATGCTAATTTGCCGAAAGCGCCCCATGCAAGTTATGTTGTTCTTTTAATTTCAGCATCTTGATTTGGTTTTCCTAGTTTGATAACATAACCTAGATATACATAATGTTCAACATTTTCTATGGTATGATTTTGTATTGTTATATTTGTCTGGTCTCGGCTTAGTATTTTTGTTTCGTTGTAGTTTATTTTTTATGCCTACCGCTCCTGAAACTGCATTTAATTGTTATAACATATCATTTAGTTCTTGGATATTATCGGCTATTAATAACTATGTCATCTGCGAATCTCAAGTGATTTAAGTATAATCCGTTGACGTTGAAAACCCTTATTGTTCCATTCTAGTTTCTTAAAAATATCTTTTAGAGTAAGGGTAAATAGTTTGGGAGAGATGGTGTCTCCTTGTCTTACTCCTTGTTGTAGTCTTATAGGATTAGTTTTTGTGCTTTCGTCCAGCTTTATCTGCATGGTGGCATTTTCATATTTTTCATTTCTAGGTTATTAGCAACCTATATACATTTCCAACCTATATATTTTCTCCTAAGATTTCACTTGTTGATCTGACGATGTGATTGGTTTGTCTCTGCAACTGGTATCTTTAACACTCAATAAGAACATGATAACACTGACTGAAACATTACAATTGTTACATAAAGTAGGATTAGTGTGGCCGAAGTTGAACTCTTTCACTGGCTTTGAGACAAATTTTTGACCTTCAATTTACAAATGATTTTAAGTCATGTAGCACCACATTTCTCACTTGACCCGCGGTTTACTGTTTCTTGCTTGTTGGGCTTTTTTAATTAGGAGAGCAATTGAACGTGTTGTGTAAAACTGGTTACTGTTATTGATGGAACTGCTAGTTCTTTTTAAATTAGGAGAGCAATTGGATGTGTTGTGTAAAGCTGGTCAATACTATTAATGGAACTGAGGGAATAACACAAAACAGCACAGAATTCACTCTGATGTTCTATTTCCACATATTGGTTTTCGATTCGTTCTTTTATCAATCGACCGCACGACCTCCTTAACGAGCTAATGACACTTATACCTCTGTAATTTTTATATTTCTTTTTGTCTTTGTTTTTGTGACTTGAGCTGATACAAAGCCAAGCTCCAAATTTTGGAAAATATTCTTGTTTGATTAGACATTAGTTAAAGATCTCTGCTAACAATTCTGTTAGTTTTGACGGTCTGAGTTTTATTAATTCAATGGAGATGTTTCCAGGTACTGTGACAATCCCGTTTTATTTAATTTAAGGATCGTCTTATCATCACACTGATTGGTTGTACCTCGCCTTCCGTCACCATTAAACGACTCATCAGAAATAGTGAGTGCTAATGGGGAACCACTGGGAGTTCACTGTTGAACAATAAAACTCACAACCTTCTTTGGGAGCCAATGGCTAGGCCTTGTTTAGGTCAGCCTCTCATCCTTTTTTCAAAGAATTTAATCTAAGAATCAACTATTGTAATGATAAGGAAGGTAACTTACTTCCCAACAAAGCGGCTATTCTTTTACGATGGGTAGAGCACTTTCGAGAGTTTCTGGAAGGGGAACCTACTAACAATATAGAGCTGGAATACCAAAATGAGGAAACTCATGTAATCCCCCTCGGTAGATGAAGTGAAAATATCTATAGAAAATCTAAGGAACCACAAATCCCCGGCAGCGATGGCATCCCAGCAGAGTTATTTAAGCACGGTGGAGAGCAGCTCACCTAGTTGATGCGAGAAATTGTTTGTAAAATTTGATCTGAGGAGCAAATGGCTAAAGAATGGAGGTTAGGCTTAATTTGCCCGTTACACAAAAAGGGAAACCAACTGGATATGTAACAATAAACCGCGGAATAACTCTCCTATGAAACGTTCAACCATTAACCAGCTATTTACACTACGATAGAATCCTTGAAAAAAAGTTTAACATAGATATGTATCCTATTTTTGTCGATTTTAAAGCGGTATATGACAGTGTCTTAAGACTTTACAACGCTATAAATTAGTTAGAAATTCCAAAAAAACTCATATGTTTAATAAAAGTGACAATGACGAAGATGCTATCAGCAGTAAAAATTCAAAACGACTCGTCAACCCTATTTGAAATACATAGGAGGTTAGGGCAGGGAGATGCGCTGGTGTGTCAGCTTTTTAATGTCGCCTTTAAAGAGGCGTTTGTAAAAAGTTGTACGAGAAGCTAATTTAGATAGCAGGGGAACAATATTTAATAGATCAGTCCAAATACTGGCATATGCAGACGACGTGGATATTATAACAAGAACTAGGGCGAGAACTGCAGACATCCTAACCGAGCTAGTAGCACAGCAGAACGAATGGGGTTACATATAAATCAAAATAAAAACCAAATTCTTGGCGACTAACACAAACACAAGAGCTGGAAATGTTGACGCAAATTTTATCATCAATGACCAAAACTTCGAAGCAGTCAAAGAGTTCATATATCTATGGACATCGGTTAACCCCAATAATAACGCATCTGAGGAAATATAAAGGCGAATAATAATTGCAAAACAGGTGATATCATGGTCTATCAAAGTACTTAGCTAACAAACTTCTGTCTCAAAAAACTCATATAAGGCTGTATAGAACACGGATAGTCCCCGTTCTCACATATGGATCAGAGGCATGACGCCTAACTAAAACAGATGAATCCGCTCTATCGATTTTCGAAAGAAACGTGCTACGCAAGATATTTGGAGCGGTCTGTGAGAACGGAATATGGAGGCGTAGATATACTATATATATATATATAAATATATAAATATATATATATATATATATATAAATATATATATATATATATTATATATATATATATATATATAGAGAGAGAGAGAGAGAGAGAGGAGAGAGAGAGAGAGAGGACGTAAACTTTGAACTGCAGAATATCTACAAGCATACGTTTGGTGGTAAAGATAGTAGCACTATAATTAAGCGAACCGCCTGCAGTGGGCAGGACATGTAGCCCGGGCCCCTAAATCGAACATAATAAAAAACATTCTAACAGCGCAACCCGTGGGAATGAGAAGATGGGGTAGACCAAAGTGAGGTGGATGGATGGGGGTACACAAGATGCGGAGAAATCAGAGTTGCAACTGGAAAATGCAAGCAATGGACAGAACAGAATGGCGTAGAAAGCTTGAGAAGGTCAAGGTCCTCTAAGGGCTGTAATACCAAGATGATGAGCTGAATCAGAAAATAAAGCCTAGACAGAGAAAAAAGTGGAAGCAGAAGATCCACCTGCAAGGCTGAAGGGTTATTAGGTAGAAAAAGAATGGAATTAATATATTTAGAGCATGAAAGATAGAAGTGGTAAGAAGTTCTTAACGTGGAAGAAGTTACGATGTTAGTGTAACTGTTATATTTTATAAGCATATTATCGTTCCTCCAATAGACTTTAAAAATTATATTTTAGGTCTATTTTTCTAGTTTTTTTTCATTTATATATTTTTTCGTATCTTCTACAAAGCTCCTTTTAAGCAGTTTTTATAATTTAGATCTATTTCTTGTAATGCCCTATAAGAGTTTCATTTGTGCTATGTTAATTAAGTGCTTGACGATAAATTTTGACAAGAAAACAATCTAAACCTCCCAAACTGGCCTATTACAGAAATCTTCACATTTATATTAATGTCTTTTGCCTTAATATCATTAGTTAAAATATTTTAATGTATATCTATCTGTTTGTTTAATTTTTTTATAATTAACATAATTATCATTGGTAAAGGAAGCTTTGTCATTGCTATTGGGAGCAGTTTAGTTTTCAGTTAGTGGTGAGGTTTAGTTATGATTGTGTAGATGTTAGTGACAATATGGATATAGGGTACAAGTTGAAGGCGGAAAACCCCAAACAAAATGCGAATATATTTTCAAAGTTATTTTTCGGGTATGTATTTTATTACTAAATTAATATACCTAATATTTTAAGTGTAAAAATAAATAAAAGAAAGTTAAGTTAAAGCCGAAATTGTCATTCACCGTTTTATATTATGCAATTTTGGCAGGATTTACACTTCATAATCTGGTTAAATAAAAAGGAGGCGGTAATATTTGCAATTAAATAGACATTCTACACATAATGGAGACAGATATATACAGTATTTTATAAAGAAGATATTAAAATAGAGCATTTTTTATAAGTAAATTATTACTGTGACGATGGTCAACATTTGAATCGAATTTACATGGTAAAAAAGAAGTTGAAGAATGAAGAAAGAAGAATGAAAAATGATTGATGAATCAATGATGGTTGTCAAAGCGCAAATTAACTACGCAATAAACTTCTGGGTTGTCAAACTCTTGCATACCTGTGCAGATGTGAAAATTTTACTTCCAGTAAGGACATACATTTACATCAGCATTATGCTGTATAATTTAATACTTTAAAGTATTTATTCCGCAATTTAAACTCAACCACTGTTTGGTTTTGCAGTTAGTAGCGCAAGTACTTCAAAATTTTTACTAAAAATGAACTAATAAGGCTTTAAACATTCTGAAACCAAATTTATTTGGATTTGTTTTTAATTAAATGTAATACCACTTGCAATAGAAGTTTTTACTTCGATATTAGAGTTTTTAAACATATTTTAAACTAAACTTGTGGTTAATTCCAAATCAAAACAGTTAATCACATATACAGAGTTGCGGTACACTATGGAACAAGTAAATATTGCGAAAAAGATGAGTTCTATTAAACTTTGCTTGTCGATATAAAAATAGACAACGCATTTGATACCACATTTGATATCACTCGCTTCCGGTTTCATCGGAAATAGCTTTAACTTAAATTGAGCACCCCATATATGTATGCAGATTTTAAAAGAACTTGCTTTTCCTAATTTATACATACTAAGTTTGGTATAAAAACTTTGTTAACAAACAAATAAATAAATAAACAGAGAAATAAATCACTATACAATTGTAATTAATTATAATAAATATAATTGATAAATAATGTTTTTACTAAGACCAATACGAATAATATTCAAATTAAAAAAAAAATCAATTCAAATGTTAAAAATACTGGCAATTCTTCTTTCTTCTTCTTCTGGTTCCTATCCGTTTCGGATGTTGGAAATCATATTGGCACTCATAACCTTGCTCGCTGCGGCTCGAAACAGCTCCGTTGAGGTTTTCTTAAACCATGTTCTTAAATTCCGCAGCCATGATATTCTCCTTCTACCGGGTCTCGCTTACCTTTGACTTTACCTTGCAATATAGACTGTAGCAGGGAGTAACGGTGCTCATTTCTCATAACGTGTCCCAGATATTGCAATTTTATGCGTTTGATTGTAAACACAATCTCTGGTTCCTTCTTCATTTTTCCTAGAACTTCCTTGTTCGTGATCCTTGCTGTCCATGATATTCTCAGCATTCTTCTATAAAGCCACATCTCAAATGCTTCAAGTTTTTTAATAGTGGTGTCTGTAAGCGTCCATGCCTCCGCCCCGTACAACAACACAGAGAAAACATAGCATCTCAAATGTCTCATTTTTGTATCAAGGGATATGTTGTGACTTTTGAAGATGGCGCTCATTTTGTTAAAGACCGTTCTTGCCTTTCCCATGCGGCACTTTATTTCCTGTAAATTGCTCCACTGTTCGTTAATAATAGTTCCCAGGTAACAATACTGTTTTACTCGCTCTATCTGCGTCCCATTAATGTATAGATGAGCCCGTTTATATTCTCCTTGCTGATAATTATTTGTTTCGTTTTGTGGGTATTAATGTTTAGTCCGTACTGTTGACTGTACTCGTTTATTCTGTCCATTAGCCTCTGAAGTCCTCTAAACTATCTGCTATCACCATGGTGTCGTCGGCATATCTAACATTGTTTACTCTTTCACCATTTAGAAGGATGCCTTCGTCTATTCCGTAAAGAGCTCGTTAAAAATTTTCTCTGAGTACATATTAAATATCAACGGCGATAGGATACATCCCTGTCTAACTCCACGTAGTATTTTTATGTGATCTGTTTTTTCTCCGTTAATTTTCATGTATGCGGTCTGATTCCAGTAGAGTTTCTGAAATTATTCTGAGGTCTTTGTCATCCAGGTCTGCTCTTTTAAAATGTTTATCATCTTTTGATGTTGAACTCTGTCAAATGCCTTTTCATAGTCGATCAAGCACGCGTATACGTCGCAGTTAACGTCCTGCATCTTTGAATCAGTACCTGTACTCCGAAAAGTGCCTCTCTGGTACCCAATGCGTTAATGAAGCCGAACTGGCAATTCACATTCTTACAATTTGTAAGCCTATTAAGAAACTCGTGAGTCATTCTTTTCCAAAACTTATATATATATATATATATATATATATATATATAATATATATATATATATATATATATATTATTATAAATAATAGCACTACGAGCCTAGTAGGCCCATGGCTTGAGCTGTTATTGTTTTCCATTTCTTCCTATTATTAGCCTTGTCCTTCCATCTTTCTATTCCCAGTGTTTCTAGGTCTTTCTCTACTTCTTGCTTCCATCTACTTCTCGGCCTTCCTCTTCTTTTTTTTGTACCCATTGTATGCATCAGAATCATTTTTGGTACTCGAGAATTTGTCATTCTTTCTATGTGCCCTAGCCACCTGAGTCTCTGAGCCTTTACTACTCCCACTATACTAGGATTCTTGTACATATCTTCTAATTCTTTATTTGTTCTTCTTTTCCATGTATTGTCTACTATCTTGCCTCCAAATATCTTTCTCAAAACCTTTCTTTCCCATATTTCGAGCATACCTGTTTCGCCTTTGTTCAGTGTCCACACTTCACTGGCGTAGGTTACCACTGGTTGTATAACTGTTTTGTAAATCCTTATTTTGGCATTCCTAGATATCTGTTTACTTTTTAATAGCCTGTTTAAGGAGTATCACGCATCGGTTTCCTGCCATTATTCTTGATTGGAGCTCCTCTCTAATATTTGGTTTGCATGTGAACATCGACCCCAGGTATGTAAATCTTTCCACTGCTTCAAATATATATGCTTTTTCACCCTCTACTTCTATTTTTAGATTTCCTCCTTTTTGTTCACTGTCATCTATCCATTCCATGTATTTTGTCTTACTTTCGTTGATGGCTAAGCCTATTTTCTTTGCCTCTCTATCTAGCCTCTTTACTACTTCTTGTAGCTCCCATTTGCTTCGAGCCAGTATTACTACATCGTCTGCAAAGGCTAGACATTGGTGCTTTCTTTGGTATAACAATCCCTCTCTGTTGACATTTGCATCTCGTATGACCTTCTCCAAACACAAGCTGAATAGTATCGATGATAGGGGATCTCCTTGCCTTACTCCTTCACTGACTTCAAATTTTTCCGACATTATATTATTTATTTTAACTCTGCTCTCAGTCTTGGACAACGTTATTTGTATCATTCTTATAAGTTTTCTACTGATACCCAATTCTTCTAGTGCTTTGCTCATTTGGTTCCGTTTTATTCTATCGTACGCTTGTTTGAAATCAATGAAGAGGACCCTTGTCGGCAGATTGTGTTGATAACTTTCCGCTTGCAATTCTCTGAGCGTAAATATCTGATCTGTTGTACTTCTACCAGGTCTGAAGCCACATTGGTACTCGCCGACAATGTTTTCTATCACTCCTGCCAATTTGTCCTTTATACACGCTGCAAGAATTTTGTATGCAGTATTCAATAGTGATATCCCTCTGTAATTTTGACAATCTGTCCTATCGCCTTTCTTATAAAGTGGGCATATAATTGCATCTGTCCATTCTTGTGGTAGTTGTTCTTTAATCCAAATCTCCTTTATTAATTTGAACATTTGCTCCTCTAGCGTTTTCCCTCCATATTTGAACATCTCTGCAGTTATATTATCACTTCCTGGACTCTTGTTATTTTTTAATTTCTTTATTATTTCCTTTATCTCGTTTCTGGTAGGGGGTGTTTCTTCTGTCTCATTTATTTGGTTCCTATGTTTCTCCGTTCTTATAGGCTGTGGCTGTTCTATCCTGTTTTCGTCATTTAGCAATTCATCGAAGTATTCTTTCCATCTAGCGGCTATTTCATTTTCTCCACTTATGGCGTTTCCCTCTTTATCTTTGTAAAATATTGTTTTTTGTTGGTATCCTCTTTTTTCATTTTTTACTCCCTGGTATAAATTTCTAATTTCTCGATTTTTGTAATTTTCTTCTATTTCTTTCAGCTGATTTTCCATGTACTTTCTCTTTTTCATTCTCAAAACTTTTTTTACGATTTTTCTTTGTTTTTCATATCTGTTTCTTGTTTCTTCCGTATCACTTTTGCCTTTCCAAAACTTAGTCCAAACAATTTAGTTCACATTCATATAATATAATCCTTTGTCTCAAATCCTGCAAGCACGTTAGTCTTCTTTCTTCTAAGGGTGCCTGTCCGTTTCGAATGTTGGCGATCATTCTGCCTATGATGACTTTGTTAGTTGCTATACGGAATAGCTGCCTTTCTATACCTTCTTAGGTTAGCCAGGATATTCTTTTTTGTTCTTGGGCATTTTTCCTTCAATTTTACCTTGCAAAATGCATTGGAATAGCTCATATCTACCTTGGTTTCTCATTATATGTCCCAAGTACTGCAGCTTACAGCCCTTCACGATGTTGAACAAATCCACGGTTGTGGTACTTCTTCATTGGTGACTTTGTCTGTCCATGGTATCTTTAGGATTCTTCTGTATAACTATAGCTCAAAAGCCTAAAGTTTTGATAGAGATTCCGCCTTCAATATCCACGTTTCTACTCTGTAAACAAGCACTGAGTACACGTAACATTTAAGGAACCTTATTTTTGTTTCTAGTTAGTTTTATGGTTTCTTATGTTTGTTTATTAGCTTTATTTTGCTGGTGTTTATATCCAGTCCAGATGTTCTACTTCTTTCCGTTAATTTTGTTCATT